AACGAAAGGAATGATGGACTTCGTGTCCCTCGAGCGAGGAGGATCCACTGGACCACTCTAGCACGCGACAGGGACGAATGGAGACGTTGCTGGCGCCCGCTCGAGCAAATCGACGATCAACGGGACGACAGGTGATACAGGTGATACAGGTGATTATTGTAGCTTGATGCCCAAAATGATAGAAGAAAGAAGCTTTGAGGAACGAGTCAAAACGCTCAACCCATGTTTTTGCCTCTAGAGGAACAAGGATAGCTACTATAGTAGCCAAAAAACCCACTGGAAAGCTCCACGTGAAGGAGTCCCCCCACTTTTCAAAAACAACGACTATAAGATGGGACACAGAAACCATTACGACTGAAATGTGATTACCTTGCTTCATCAGACATACACAATAAAGTTCCGCGGGACATCCATATGAAGCACAGCTGCAAATAATTAAGTTTTAACAGTGAGAGCCTTAGGAAAAATCATCGAATTGTGACAGCAATGTAGTCTAAAGTTCTATCAAAAAATAACAATACTAACCAGATGAACGAAAAACTTTCATGAAGTGAGATAAAAAATAACCAATACGAAAAACTAAGAGGTATCACTAGAGCAGCTAAACAATACCTGTTGCGTCTCTTCGTTTGCCAACGTCATAACGGATCCATTAAGCAAATTGATGCTGAAATTGTGAAGAAAATAGCTCTGCTATTAATCCGCGACAATCCCCGTGTTTTGCACACTATCCACGAATGCATTCTACCTTTGTTTCTTCTCAATTATTTTGTTCTTCTAGGCATTTCCAATCAACGAAAGCAAAGAGTTAAAAACAGTAATGATGACAGTACCTGATAAGACGATTACCCCAGATCCAGGTGTCGTCAAAATGCATCTCTATGGCACTTTTCCTATTTTCATCGTACTCCAAGTTACACATTTCAAAGGGCACATAGTTACCAAGCTTCTCCTGCGAAATAGCCCGCATCTTATCAAGCAACATATCAGCATATTCCGGCATGCCTGAACATAGTTCACAAATGTGATGTTCACATTGGTTACTATAGTGCAATCAAGGAATACCTACAAACGTGTCCACTTTCACCTTTTTGTGCTTGAAATTGACCTTTGGTCCAAAATCCTGGAAAAGAATCATAATAATCATACTACAAGTCACAACCTATGCAATGTATTGTTACCTGCTTGCGGCGGCCTGACTGTGATGGCACCCATTCGATACCGTCAATCATTTCCATCAGATCATTTTCCTCCGATTCCGTGATAAAGTTCGGTACAAGCAGTAAACCACCAATTGAAATGCTCTCCTCACATGGAGCAGTCGAATCGTGTTAGACGACCGAGCTGCTAAAAAGTGCATAAAGAAAAAAGCAACGTGGCTTGTTCATGAGGTTGAACACACTCATGGAGCCTTCGAAATCCCGAGCCTTAAGAAGAAGGATCGCTCCTCAGACAAAAGTACTAACCAATTTGCGCGCGGCCGCGGCGAACGCGGCCGAGTCCGATATAGTGCCGCGCGAAACCGTTGAAAACGCGCTCGAGACGCATACGATAAGATGTAATCACGCAGCACACAAGGCAAGGCCCTGAGCGCCTTTGCCTCGCGATAGTGTTGCGCTTCTTGCGCTCATGGACCTTTTTTCACTGTAGGAGGGACTACGTTGACTACGTTGTTGGCGCCTAATCCCGATCCGTGGTTTTAACCAGGGAAGGTCATCAGATCGGTCCGCCCATCAGCAGTGAACTGTATACCATTGCACTTGCTCGAAATCAAGCCACTGCTACATCTGCTGAACGTTCCTTAACCCAGTCGCGACCGCGCCGGTTTGCGCATTAGCAGGAGAGTCAGGAGATTTTTCTTCAATAAAATTTGAGTGGATGGAGATTTCCCGTGCCCAAGGCTGGCATAGATGAATGAGGGTATGAAGATTCTTTTCAGGAAAGAAAACTTTCCAAATTCCATTTGAAACACACGGCAGCCACCGGTGGATACCATTGTACAAGTGAGATCTTTGTCAGCCACCGGTGGCTGTCCATTGTCACGAATGGGCTAACAGAATTATAAGGCGAGAAAGCGTAATGGTAGTGCCCCGGTCTTGCACGCAGGAGTTGGCGAGGACAATTTTTCGAGGAGCCTGCTGTTTTGCTTTTCAATGTCAATGTGGCAGAACAGCTTATGAATTCCTTAATTTATCAACTTGCCATTAGCTGCCTGTATGAAGAGTTTGCGAGCAGTTCTCCACAACCTCTTGCCTGCGAGACAGGGCACTACCGCTGCGCTTCCTTGCTTTATAACTCCGTTCAAAAAATCGTTTAGCAGATAGGGAAGACAGTTTTGAGCTCAGCGTCTCGAGGCGAGTGCAAGGGTATAGAGCTCATTGCAAATGGCCGGACCGGCCTGATGACCTTCCCTGGTAAGCACACAAGTAGGTCATGTGGACAGCAGCGGTGCAAAAGGGTTGCGCGGCACAATGTGGAGCAACAAACAAACCCTTGAACCCGAACTGAGCAAGACGAACGTGCACCTAATGAGAAAAATGGAATGAAAATGACAAGGAAATGGTAGACGAGAAGCACTACGCTTTTCAACTGCTGCTACCTGGCTGCGAAACCAACTTTGGAGCTTCCATACCGAAATAGGGGCATGTGGTCCAACAACTAGCGATATTTGCAGGAAAAGGAGGCTTCACTTTCAAACACATGCGATGCTTCAGACTTCTGCAACAAAGTGGTAGTTTTCCTGCCTCAGTTGCAACAGTACATGGGGCGAAACTCGGGTTCGGGGGGGGGGGCACGCGATGGCGCGGCGCTGTTTTCGTCTGCTCTACCAAGGCTTAGTCACCGATGGCGCGTATTTTGAAACTGCCACATAATGGCGAAAGAGTAACTGTCCCTGTGGACTAAGCCTTGGAGGAGCAGACGAACAGAGCGCCGCGCCATCGCGTGCCCCCCGAACCCGAGTTTCACCGACACGGCTTCGTTGAAAATGATACCGATACAATATTATACCAGTTTAGCTCCGCACACTACCGCGTGCATGACACGGAAGGGCTCCGTAAAGCTGGCCAGCCGGCGGAGCGTTAGGTTCCGCCGCTAAACAATAACTTGCTTCGTGAAATGCGTTAGCTGGCCTTCTACAGAATGCCCATTTTTAAGCCAACCGTCTGATACGCGCGGTGGAGTGCGGAGCTAAAGTGGTGTCTGTAAACAACCACCATGCATTGGATGTCAGGATGATTTAGCGGTCGAATAATATTGATGCCAATGATTTTGCAATAGAAATAA